CTACTACCTGTGTCTGTATGATTACTTTACCACCACTATATGTTACTTGGCACTACTACCTGTGTCTGTATGATTACTTTACCACCACTATATGTTACTTGGCACTACTACCTGTGTCTGTATGATTACTTTACCACCACTATATGTTACTTGGCACTACTACCTGTGTCTGTATGATTACTTTACCACCACTATATGTTACTTGGCACTACTACCTGTGTGTCTGATTGCTTTACTACCACTTACTTACCATGTTACTTGGCACTTCTACTTGTGTCTGACTGTGACTTCTGATAAATTTATAGAACTTCTTAGGTTAAAAATTATATTTCTGAGTGTAGTTGACAAACTAATTAAATTTACATTTTAAAAAAATAAATGAAAAATTAAATAGCCAATTTGCAAGATAGTTCTATATAACTTGCTGGTCAGATATATTTACAATAATACAACTCAGAGTGAATTATTAATTGCATAATTACTGTTATCATCAATATAAGGAAAGTGTAAATCTGTTCGTGGAGAGGAATTAAAGTTCAATATACACAAATCATAACTTCATAATCTTTTGCATTGCATATTTGGTCATTTCAACAACATTTACATTTCAAATTTATAAACAGCTATTGTGTGCTGACTGATAAACAAGAGGCAGAAATAACAGGAGAACCCCCCCCCCCAAAAAAAAAGATTTGTTTATCTAACTAGAGAATCAAGATAAGTAAGAGAAACCATGACTTACTTTTCAAGACAAACTCTGCCTTAACGAAGTAATATCTTCAAAGACCTCACTAAACTCTCCTAAAGAATAACATATGAGAAATGTTACCTAGAAATAGAGAAAGTCAGCACTTCAAGAAACAGCCTAAAAACAATTAACATATAATCAAGTCCAATAGATTATAACACTTAAAAAAAAGAATAATAATAATAAAACATTACCATACATAAAGAAAAAATTGTCATTATTAGAAAAGTGTTAGTAAGTAAAGTTTTGGTGCATTTCATACAGATACTTACCTCTCTGCTCTACTAACAGCTAATACTTCATGCACAACTGAGGTGGAATTTCCTGCACATGCCACAAGCCTAGAATAAACTCACACCCCTAAACATGTCTATGTGTATTGTACCAGACTATGACATATTGGTATAATATTGTGGACCTCTATCAAAAGGTGAGTGACATGACATCCATGCATGATAATCCCATAAGCATTGAATACTAACACATGATCATAGGCTCATTCTTGATGAAGCAAAGAAAATTCACCAAAGTGAGGATGAAGGTGGTACAGTGAGGTATGTATCTATCTGAAATACATTTTTCAGGTAAGAAATTCTGTTTACCTCTCTGCATCACTAACAGCTAGAATCCTACATTGAAAATGATGGATGAGTCAATACTGATCAATTACAAAGATTAGCTTCTACCTGAAACAGCAAGAGAAAGGAAATGCCCATGGGGTGTGGGTTCTATGAGACCAGGGTATTGTCTAGTGGAGCGGCATCTGGTGAGAGACCACACCTTTCTCAAGCAAGGAATACTTGTTGCCCAACTTGTTATTACTTATTGATTCATATATTACACTTATATCACAGAGAGATTGACAGTAAAGGATAGTGGGTAAATTGAGAGCCAGTGGTAATGTGTTGCAAAGATTGGTGGAACATGTGTGGTTAGGGTGTTAGGCTGTTCCATCTTGGTGAAATACTTAAATGAGATAGATATAGTAGTGTCAGGTGGAGGGAGGAGGAGTTCTCACCTGCATCCAGAGGCAAATCCAAGTCCCATCCAGATGGACATGTCCACTGGGAACTGTTTGGGAGATACTGTAATGGGGTATCCTGTACTACACTTAAAGGGAACACTAAAGCCCTACATGTCATAGAGGAACAGGCTCAACTAGTCTCTTACTGAGAAGGCACCACTCCTAGAGAAAGTTCTCCATACCAACATCTTCAGCAGCTTGGGACTATGAAAGTTAATGTTCTTCCAAGCTTCATTAATAGAACAGAGAGGAGAAATACACGTTAGGGAGAACACCGGAGAGTGTGCGTGGACCACTTTCATCAGGCACAATAATCTAGAATTGGGTTCCCACTACAAGATGTTGTAATGGGCTACTATGACTAAAGACAGCAAGCACAAACGAGGTGTAAGGGCAAGTCTGGTACTGTCCATTTTTTTAAAAATTATAATTATTATGTTAATTATAGAGATATACTTCCAAAGTATTATTGTAGAAATAATGTGCAGTATTCCAGGGTTGCTGGAGAAGAAAGAACCCAGGAGAGCAAAGTAGGAGAGGTGGGCACTGATAGGACTAGAGACTGGAATTGGTTCTAAAGAAGAATCACCACCAAAAGCCACAACAGATAGGTGTGTGGGAGGAGAGATGATAAACAGAAGTGAAAGAACAAGAAACAGGAGAGGAGTAGTCTAATGTGACTCCCGAGAATGGATGGAAAACAAAGGTACCCATGTACCAGATAATTGAAAAATCAAGTAAATAATAGAAGAATGCTGGCAAGCAGCCTACGCTTTGGATTCCTGGGAGTCAGGAACACCCCCAAAAACAAGGTCTGTAAGCAAGTAGGTGAGAGGTCACAGATATAACAAGGGATGAGGATGTAAGACTTGGGAGATTCCAAGAACAAAGAAACCAGGTCAAAGTAAAGACAGGAGATGAAAAAATAAAAACTAGCGTGGCAAAAAAAATAAGTGTCTCCACCAAAAGTATTGGGGATGTCATGAAGAGCTTCAGTGAAGGGCAGATGAAGGAGATGATGGGCAGAGAAAGAGCAAGGGAGTATATTAAAGATAGACAAAAATGAAGAAATAGCTGGAAAAAAGCCAAAGAAGAAGCACCCCAAGTAAAAAAGAAAGACAGAAGAGGTTGCAGATCAAGAAATTTAAAAGGGCCACAACTTAAGAAATTAAAAAAATATGCTTTAACACAAGCAGTGCCAAGGAAAGAATGAGCCTATGATCATGTGCTGGTGCTCACAGGGATGGTGGTTGTGTTGCACTTCAAGTTGTGGCGGACTACAGCACTGTGACAATTTTGTCATAAACTGATGCAATACACACGTAGTGGTAGGAATTTGTTCAAGGCTGTTTTATGTGCAAGAAATTCCCTAGCAATTTTATGCAAGGTAATAGCTCTTAGTGGTGCTGAGAGGTAAGTAGCATTTCTGAATTTTACTTTTACTCTACACAAATGATAAAGTTTAGGGCCTTTGATTTTTGTTTCATACATCTGCATCATGCACCACTCCCTCCCACCTGGTCAAAAAACAGGATAGTAACTCTAAGAATCTATTTATTTTTTTGCTGAATAATTTCCGGCAAGAATTACTCAATGGACGTGTTTACTCTTACATACATTGTCTATAATGAAAAACACCCTTTGCTATAGACATCAGTAAGAACATTGGAAACCACTATTCAAAATGTATGTTAACCATATTACGTAACTAGTCCCATCTTTATGTTCTGATACTGTATCCAGCAGCTGCATTTCAAACAGTTTTTGTTTTCAGCTGCCGTATGTACTAGAAACAATACTGGTATATGATACTGTTTTTTGTTTCACTTTATTTGAATGATATGATATGTCAAGCTGGACAACAATTAAAATTATAACGGCAAAAATTTGCCAAAAAATAACCTTCTTAAGAAATCAGTTTGGAATTCTCAAACAATGATCTTCTGATGTATGCTAAGTTACCTATTTACAGTTTTCTAAAAATACAGATTTTTCTTGTCATCAGCCTTGTTTAGAAATATGTATTAAAAGAATTTCAAGAACAAACATATAGCTGCATCTACAGGATTTACTTATTTTATGTAATAGTAACAATCATATGAAACAATGATTTTTCTTTCCTAAAACCCTCTTCATGCATTAAGCATACAAAATCTTCTAACAAGTGCAATTTTACTAAACTTTCTGAACATTTACAATCTTTTATTCCAAAAAAAATTGAAGATGGATAAAAAAATGCACATTCTGTATTAATCACACTAAGTTGTCATTGGGTCAAATGGCAACCATACATTTCATATGGTCATAATAATGCCTAATATTGATGTTGCTACCATTCTTTGTTTGATGAAAGATACAATTTCTTAATAATTAGTTACTCTTCAGTAAAGGGAAAAAAAAAATTAACTGAGTACCACAAAATTTACTGAAAATAATTTTCAATCATTTTCTCAGTAGTGTAAGATTTCTTGTTTCATATATATCTTCAGAACTATTCAGGTGTACAAACAAGAAAATAATACAGTTTCAATGCTAATTTGCTAAACACTAGAAAGTATAATGAATGTAGATTAATTTATAACTAACTTTAAACATTATTCACTAATTCTTTCAGAGAGATCAAGATATAATGAAATGAAAAAATGCAAAAGATTAAGACATAATTTCACCTTAATTTGGAAAACATACTTTTAAGGACATTTTCAATACCACACAAACATCTGAATATATTATGCTTCTTCTCAAATTAAATGTCCCATACAACACATTAAAAAAATTGCTGGTTAACATAGAGCATTAATGACATTTATAAACATATTTTTTAAACAGTTTCAGTTAAGTTGTATATCAAAAAAGAATGGATTTTTGCTTTAAGTAAAGTACTGAGCACTGCCCCTAGGTCAATTCCCATAAGAAATAATTATTCTGTTTCACCAGTTCCAAGACAGCAGATACAAGTTGCCACCATAAACAGATTTCTCAAAAAAAAATATAAAAGAAATTACTGTGTGCTGTGTCCCAGTAAGGACATATAAATTAATATACTTTGTAAACAAATCTAAATATTTTCATACTCAATTATAACAACAGTTATAACAGACCCTAACTGATATAACTTCACAGACCTGCCACTTTAGCCATGATATACAGTAGTATTTGAACTTTACTATCAATCAAATACTCATACACTTTACTAAATCTGTATAGATTGTCTGTAAATTCTACATACTATATCTGTTTTTCAGTGCAAAAAAATTCTAAGCCAAACAGTTATTTTAAATACACATATATGCTTGCAAACAAAATAACTTAACCTAAATATAACAAATATTAATTTCCAGCTTATTATCAAGTACATAATTTTTTTTATAAATGTATATTAACAAAAGAAGTTGCATCTATATTGTAGTTTCTTTTTTACTCGTTTTCTGTTTTACACATTTGTTTATATTTATCTATTACATAAGACTCAATTTTTATTTTGAGTAAAGAGACATTTCTATGTCTTTATAAAAACAATTTTTACTTAATTCCCTCTTGCATATTACCAGTTATTATTTAAAAACAAAACCTGTATGAAACCAATACTTATTTTTCTATACATTCATATATATACATGTACAGAGTTGTGCAAAAGGGACTATACAGTTGTTTCATTTATAACAGTTTAATTTCTAGCTATTAGTTTGAAACAAATAATAATTAAATTGGTTTTCATTCTATTTGTAATATTTTCTTTATTACCAACTGTACCAACCATGTAAAACCTAATATAGCATCAATTGTATAGAAACTTTTACCCTACCCTGTATATACATATAATTTATCAACATCAGCTAAAATTGAGTAAGTTTCAGTAATAAGTATATCAATAAAAAGATATTGCCTGTTGATAGAGGAATTCATGATTCTATTCAAGTTTTAATAGAACTTCTTAATTAAATTCTCAAAACATTTGATCTTATTTCATATGACAGTTATTACTGAAATATCTCTCTCCCTCTATTATATCAGGAACTGTTAAAACATACTATCGGACATAATTGAATTTTGAGGA